GAAGCCTCGACTAACTCTATGCCTGCAATTGCAGTAAGACAAAGGAGTGAGGCAAGTAACACCTATATTGCTCTCCCACAATCCCGTTCTCTTAGTGTAATCACTCCTTTACTTAATTTTGTGTGTAATATTCCAAAAATAAACGAAAATGAGAGGATTGATATTGATAATAACATTCAAACTGACACATAAACACCAACAATTTCTGTCAAATCGACAAAGAAATTCAAAGCGCTACAGATTATAATAACGTCTGGACTCTTAATATTATTATTTTTGGATTTACCGTCTCCTAAATCTCAACCCGACACAGTCTTCTCCGTTGGTGATGTCCACACAATGTCTTTCAGCGCCGGCCGGAGCTCTTTGCTGCAGAACTGCCTGTATTCTAACGTGTCCCCGTGATCTTTCTTCACCTCTACCACCAGAAACGACGGCGTTACGGCGAAGATCTCCGCCGCCACAGCTAGTTTCCCTTTTCTTCCGCACGCTTCACCCTGTAATCTCACTCTTGATTCGCTCTTTTTGACGCTGAATTTCCCCGCCTTCGCCACCTCTTCCAGCTTCGATATCACACTGCTTGCCGGCTTTGTCGTCGCAAATCTCAGCTCCTCTTTCTCTTCTCTCTTTTTCTCCTCGAACAAGGGTGATAAATCGAACCCTTCCGATAAGGAAATTATATGGAAGGCATTTAACGTCTCCGACTGCTTCAATTTCTCCTTGCTCTCGTCGAATTCCTGCTCCTCTTTTGTCATCACAGTCCTCGGCGTGGATTTCCTGAACCAGGAGGACTCCAATATCTTTGATGTTGTAATTCTGCTGCTCGGATTCGGATCCAGGAGTTTGGTTACTAATCGACGGGCTTCCGGTGAGAACCACGGCGGGCACTTGAAGTCTCCTCTGTAAATCTTCCTGTACATCGACACAATATTGTCGTCTTGAAATGGGAGAAATCCGGCGAGAAGAACGTAAAGGATGACTCCACATGACCACAGATCAGCTTTGGCGCCGTTGTATCCCTTCTTCCCAATAACTTCCGGCGCAACATACGCCGGTGTGCCACAAGTTGTGTGCAACAGTCCATCCTGTTTCAGATGCTCTGAAAATGCGCTGAGTCCAAAATCAGTTACCTTAAGATTTCCGTCGTCGTCGAGAAGAAGATTCTCCGGTTTGAGGTCCCGATGATAAACTCCACGACTGTGGCAAAAATCGATCGCAGAAATCAGTTGCTGAAAGTAAAGTCTAGCCACATCTTCTCTCAATCGACCTCTGGAAATTTTGGAGAACAGTTCCCCGCCGCGAACAAGCTCCATCGCGAAATAGATCTTCGATTTGCTCGCCATAACCTCATGAAGCTCGACGATATTCGGATGCTTCACCATCTTCATCACAGAGATCTCCCTCTTGATCTGCTCCATCATGCCTACTTTTATCACTTTCTCCTTCCCAACCACCTTCATCGCCATGTTCGTCCCCGTCTTCAAATTCCGAGCATGATAAACCTTCGCAAAAGTACCATGCCCTAGAAGCCGACCTAGTTCATACTTTCCATGAAGAACACCAGACTGGCCGTCTCTGTCCTTTTCCGCCATTGATTCGAACTTTTTTCAAATTTAAAATAGAAATATACAAACGATTCTTTCAAGCCTTTCTTCTCTTACTTAATTAGAGCGTAGAGCTAAGAGAAAATTGAGGAGGATGAAAAAGGGAGAAACTGGATCACCCGTCTTCGACGTGCTTCCGGTGACAATTCCGGCCGCCGATCCACTTGCCAGCTCGACCACTAGAGATGAAACTTGTCAACAAAGCTCCTCTCATCTCTCTGCATTCCCTAAGAGGGCGCCTTCTCCGCTAAATCAGTTACAGAAATTTTCTTTTTCTCTAGGGCTTTCAAAGAGCTCCGATAACCGGCGGAAGTTCACTTCTTAGCCCCTTCTATTCTTTGCATCTTCTTGCTCCTTTTATAGCGACGGGATATTCTGTAATTACCTTTTTGTCCCGATAAATGATCGTATGGCTGTTACTGGATCTGATTTGAGCAGGTGTCAGAATCATGGCGGTTGATTCTTTTACTTCCCAGTTTTGACGTCACGCCTTTTTCACTGGCTCCATTGGGGAGAGTAATGGGCCATCGTGGTGGGCTCATGGCCCACATTTCAAAACGATTCTAATTTCTTTACTTCCTAATTTTAAATATTTTAATTTAGTTATTATATTTTCGATAAATTTTAAAACCGGGAAACGTTTTTCAATCAAATTTGTTAAATTAATAATTCCTATTTAAGTAAATAATAATAATAATAATAAATTAAAGTAGTCTAAAACTACATATTTTAATTGCCTAATACTCTATTTTGTCAATTATCAATAATAACATAATTATGGTATGATCGATATCATAATCACATTAAACTTGTCACATTAGGAACATTCTTTTTCTAATTAATAAGAGGGAATTTCAAATATACAAGATAATATTAAATAATTTAATAATGGTTTAGCAAATACAAAATTCATTAAAAAAAAAAAAAATCAATTATTGATAGGATAAAGTAACAGGTTTTTTAAAATAAAATAAAAATGGAGGTAAAATTAATTTGGGCTCACCAATTCGGAAACGATCAAATCAGTTGAATAAGATATGACGTAAACAAAATTATAGTAATTATTATAAAATAAATTTTCACGACGTAATGGGCCCCAGTGGCCCAACCTACTTCTACTAGTTATGGTCGCTACTCTACCAAATTGATTTCAAGGACCCAATTATAAAATCCTAATATTAAAATTTATTTATTATTAAATTTTGTAATGAAAATTATTATAAAAATGAAGTAATTAAAGGTGTGGGGTATAAATGGAATTATATTCAATTATTGGGTTGGAGCAAGAGAGTATGGGCTGGTAATATATTTATTTTTTAAATCTTATATGACATCATAAACTTAAAAAAATACAAATAATTGAATTCGTCACATCAGTGGATGTGCAGTCGGAAATTCCATAAATTATATACAAATACGACCAAATTCTTTCTGTCTTTGCATTAAACTGTGTGCTGTGTATTTTCTCTGTTTAAAATATCGAAGAAAAGTTTAAAATTTTATATCTTTATTAATTTTAATTTTGGTTATGGAATATTTACAATTATAATAAATAAAGTCTGAAAGATTCATTTTTAACAAGAAAATATTTCTAAACTATTTAAAATCACGGGTTAATTAATTAATTAGTATTATTATGAATTAAGATTAAGAAAATGATATAAAGTAGAAAGACGTGATATTGGAGTATACGATAAAGTTATGGGCAGCCCATAAATTGCCAAAATGGTAAGATTGAGAGAATGTTTTTATTAATGATATTAGGATTTTGAGACGACTTCAATGTCACTCTCATGATAAAAAAGACTCAAAATTTGAACTCTCATCCAGTTTGGAACATCGCTACAAATAATAATTCATTTATAAAAAGTTTATAAACTTTAATTGATATAATAATAAATTTGTAACAGAGAGGGTCGTAATTTTAAATAAGATTTGAATAAATTTAATATTTTATGTTCGAAGATATTTTTTTATTTGACGACGAACTAAATTGTTTTGGGTTATGCAGGTAACCATATCAAAGAGGTTGTACTTTAGTGCTCAAAATATAACATGGGCTTGTCTTCACAATAGCATTGGGTACATATTTTACCAACCTTGCATGTGTTTACTCAAATCATCACTTCCAGATTTCTAATACATGTTCATATGATGCATTATTTTGTTCCTCATTCATTTAACACCAAACTGAACGACTTTTTATGTTCCTAAACAGTATATTTAATAATGGTTCGTCTAATCTTTCTTCAGAAATAAATGAAAATCAATATTATTAATGCATAAATCTAGTCGAGAAAATTCGTGTTGGATCAGTAGGTGAGATTGGGTTCGAGTGGCTTCGAGTTGTCCTGGGTTTGCAAGGTAATCTCTCACGCTAGTGTAGTGTGGTGTTGTGTTGCTATCAACGCTCAACAAATGATTAAGAGATATACAAGGTAAAGTTAAATTAGGTTGCAGCCTTTAATGAGAGGCGCTTTCCGTACTTGTTGTGGTTTGGTTCAAACATTAGTGTTAAAAGTAATACAATTAATTGGGTGTAATCTCGAAAATGAATTAAAAACGTTATATTTTATTCGATTTTTAGCTTTGTTTGTGACGTGATATTTATTTTTGGCACTTTATTAGATTAATAATTGTGTCATAGACTTAAAATCCCACTTTAGGCACCATCTCAATTATAATCTATGCTTTTCAATTTTCTAATCATAAAAAAAAGACCATTCAATTTTTATTTTTTAAAAAATAGATATTAACAAAATGAAAAAGAATAGAAAATTCCAAGCAAAAGCACTCTAACAAACACATCGGCCCAAACTTTGTGTTCGATGTGGAGATTTTGACTGGGCCCATGGGCCATGGGCCATACCGCCACATGCCCACTTCCGACGTAACAGACACAAATTCGATGGTCCCACATGAACAACGCACGACAAATCGAACTGATTATGTCCAACTTGGCGGTTCTTTTTATCTTTTTGTAATTTGGAAATATTCATTCAATATTTATCATTTCCAATACAAACTCGACACGTCACTCAATCATCTTCAACCTCATTCTCCTCCCCTATTTCGGTAGCTGGTAACATCTAAGATCCGATTTGAAAGGAGTGAGAATTACTTACCAGCCCAAATGCGAGCCCTCACTGAACACAATACGCTGCATCACCACCAATTTGTCCAGCCCAAAGTTTACTTACATCGGCCCAGTAAAATGTAGTTTCGTTAAAGGATCGTAATTGGGCCCAAGCGATCACTAAGGCCCATTAGGACCCAATATAACCTGGTGAAGAGGAACATAAAAGGGTATTAATTATAACTTCTTTTTTATATTTTGGTTAAATAAATTACCTTGTTTTCTTAAATAATAATAATGGCTTCATTGTAGTTGCAGGATCTCCACAAAACAGAGCTCTAAGCTTTAATGACAAGCACAAAACAACAACTCTAAATTTTTCTTTTAAGTGGTAAAGCTAAATACACATTTCGATGAACATTTTCCCAAACAAGCAACCTTCAGAGGTGACTTCTTATATCACCTGTATTATTTTTTGATACAGTTATGTACACACACAAGTATTTGTTCACTTTCGATACAAGCAGCCTGCTCACCACATTGAACAACAGGATAAAGCTTTGATCTCCCTGTGTTGCTGCAGTGCAAATCATGATACCAATATTAGTATGTTAAAACTAAAAGAAATTATGATTAATACACTGAGTTGAGAGTGTTAGTTACCTCATGAAGAAAAATTAGCTTTTCATTCTGAGGTGTGAAACACTCCTCTCTCAACATCAACAAGTAGATAATCTCCCACTAAAACTAATTACGGCTGTTGGATGTCTGCAGAGCTGGAGGGCCCTCGGCTTGAAAGAACACAACATGCTAACTTACTTCACATTGCCAATCTCGATCTGGGAGTGTGATAACTGTTTTGTTCTTGACCTCTTACGCATGTGCCCTGTCTTTGATTTTTCGCTTTCAGTTGCTTTCTTCATTTCCAGCTCTATCTGCTTGCAGTTCTCCTCGTGGGCTCGGTTAAACATTCTCACAAAGTTGCATAAGGTTGATATGACTGCAGAACAATTTAGGGGCAAAAACAAATTAGACCAACAATGACACTGAAAGGAGCTTATCCCCCCCGGCTAGCATCTTGCATACTTCTTTTACTCATGATGAACAAGTACCTTGCTCAAAGGGGCAGCGAGCTGGATCTTCTCCAAAGTAAAGAATCAAAGAATCTACACTTCTACCCTGCAAAGTATCAAGCTCCACATAAGCAACAACCTAATCCAACTAGAGGATCAAAGTTTGAACATGCACTGAGAAGCAGCACCTACCACGCTAGAGTACAGTGAAGCCAAAGTTCTCACTTCAGCTTCAGCAAAACGAAGGAACTCCTTTAAAACCTGAACCACCAAAGAGCGGGGAGGAGGGAAATGAAGTCAAGAGAGCACTGATAGAAATTAATGACCAAATGACAGAAGAAGTTCCCAACTCAAGGAATATAAATTTTTTTAATTTTCGACTAGGTTCTATGTAAGTTAGATAGGTAACCTTCTTTTGTTTCTCTTTTAAACAGAATTTCTCATAATTTTTTTTGTTTGTTTGTTTGTTTTTATATTAAAGCATAATTTTTTAAAGATACATACAAATCTATGTCATGTAGGCAGAATTTTTCTCAATCTAAGAAAATAGATAAAAAGAATTCTGTTTTCTCCATTAGAAAACTACTACCAGGGCTTCTGTGATACAGTAAGATGAATTAAGATGCATGCACCACAAAGAAAGGGAATATAAGAGAAAAGTCAAGAAGATGAACAAAACTAGGCCAAAATCACCTAAAACGTTCAGGCCATGTAGCATAGTAAAGAAGACCTAAGAGAAATGAGACTCAAGATTGCCACTATTATTTGGACAAATTCTTCAGGTTAACTCATTAAAGACAGTATTTCCTAGATCCCAAGAATCAGAGATGATGGTAGTTTCCAATTATCAAATATTAGCTGAACAGTGGTGGAAATAGTTTGCACTAACTCAGAATGCTTTAATACCGTTCGGAAATTATTGGATATAGGGCCATCATTTTCAGACGTAGACAATTCTTGAACAACTTTCTCCAACCCTTTGCTAATTGATTGCATCTCCTCTGCCAAAACCTTTAATTGTTCCTGGATAGAAATCAAACCTGTCTCAGTCAAGGAAGCAACCCCTTCACCCACCCAACAAACTTTCCAAAAAGGAACCAACAAAGAGAGAATACCTTTGATGCAGGCTCCAAGCTTGGAAGATCGTTGGAAAAATCCAGAACTTCTGGCAGTTTATCAGCAAGTATCTACACTTGTCAACAAACAATAAAATCAGAAGACTAGTTCCAGTCTAAGAAGGATAGACACCACATAGACACGGTGATACATCATCTTTTTTTAAAAAAAAAAAAAAAAAAAAAAAAAAA